AACAAGTGAATGGAGGAGCGCGCGCCGGCTCTGAAGCGCCGCATGGATAAGAGCGATTATTCGTTAACTTTAACCAGCTCTCCTTCCAAAATTACTTGTCAGATCAAAATTTGTTAAAGGAAAAAGTTGTTCCTTTTAGCACAAAGTATAACGTCCTGTACTCCGAATGCGCCAATTCTGGGACACCCTGTATATATGTATATTTGCATTGCCTAGCTTGTTTCAAATGCAGATCAAAAAGAGAATAGAATCGTACTAGGTAATGCGTGCACGCAATGGAAGGTACTTTGACAGATTATAAAGAAATTAAAAATTGGAAAGGGAAAGAAAAAAAAGAGAGATAATACAATAATGTTATTCGTGAGATTGCATTTTTTTCAGAAGAGATCTGAAAACGTACTATTACAAAATATCATTTTTCTAAAATTTTTATTATTGTCATTTACAGTTCCTTTTTTCACGTATATGTACTATGACTTTTTTGTTGATTTTTATGCGTTATTGTATTATAAATGTACACACTGAGATATTTATGAAAAAAGTCCCCTTTTTCGTTCTTTTTTTTTTTATCAATGCTTCTCTCAAAAAGACTGGAAACGAATTTTTTATTGATATCCGAAAAGAGTCGCACTAGGAATAGTGGCGATATTGTGGTCAAAGTGGTGCATGTAGTATTTATAGAAATATATTGACGGATATATTGCAACACATATCAATCTTGTTATCAACGAGAAAACAGTTTTTGTAAAATCTTTGGAGAAATCATATGATAAAAAATATAATAAAAAAAATATAATATATTATTTAAAGATATTATCTTTTTCAGAAACGTGTTGTCTTTTTTATTCTGTGCTGTTTTCAATAAACTTAATTCGTTGTTACTAAATTTACTTTAATTTACGTAGATTATACTTACCGGATACTCTTTCTCTCTTTCTCTCTCTCTCTCTCTCTCTCTTTCTCTCTCTCTATCAGTATATAACATAAGCAATAAATTTATCTAATTGATCAGATTACGGATGTAGCCAAGTACAACCTTGCAAGTACTAAGTAGACTCACTTACAAGCTATACAACTGAAGCTAAGGAGTTTCGAGATAATAATTAATATCCAATTACTAACAGAGCAACTTTAGTTTTCCACGATGGTGGGCTTAATTAAGCGCTTCCTTCATCAATAATGTAGTGGGTGTTGTATGCACGTATACGTGCATGTGTGTGTGTTCATAAAACATATAGGATGAAACATTTATCAGGTCGTGTTTCACAACGTTCTTGGCTTCTAGATACCTATATCGATTAAAATTTCAAGGGATTTGTGAGCGAAGATGCGGAACGATGTTCTCGGTATTATCTGTAATCGCCGCTTCGCGATTCGCATTCTGAAAATCCGCATTCTGAGAACCACTGTACATACATCTGTGCATTATCCGCGACACATCACATGGCTGAAGCTGCGTGAACGTACCATGAAGTTTCCTCTAGGTTCCCGTCGAAGGTAAATTACATTTAACCCTTCGATTGCTGCACGTTACGTGCATAAGCTACTGAAGCGAACAGATCCATACGCTGTCTTCTATTCGGTAGACTTGCAACGTGATGCACTAACGCGGTTAGGAAATTATGTGATTACGTAATAGAACTTGCATGTGCGCCCTTGTGTGATCGACCTTCGATTTACAATGACACTTTGGGCTATTAAATATTAAACTTTTTAAATTGCTCTTTCTCTCTTCCAAGATTTATTTCTTAAAATAAAATACATAAAATTTTTAAAAGAATAGGCACGAAAATATAACAAAATATTGTAAAATTTAAAAAATAAAGAAAATATGATTTTATTTGTAATAAAGTTTTATTAAATATTTGTATATATGTATATTAATGTATAGAAATTATGAATTTAATATAAGATTCCCATAATTTTTACATAGAAATGATTAATATGCGGCTTAAGTATAGACTTGTAAGTATTGAGAAGATGACTAAAAAATATAACTTGGATGGCATTTTTCTGGTAATTATATAACCAAAATTGTATTTTAATTCCATCACTTTTCAAAATTTTTAATTTAGGAACATGAGATCAAAGTTTTATTTCGCATTAACTAGATATAGTTACAAAATATTATATAATGGGTTCTTTGAATTTGCAAATGCTTTTGAATAAAGAAATTTTTAAGTCTCTTTAATAATACTTGGATTTCGAGTTTTATAAAGTAGTTTCTATATAGATTTAAAATCGAGTATTTTTTTTTAACGTTGAAGATAATGCATAAGCTATTGGAACGCAAAAACTGAACAAAAATTATAATTTTTTCTGAAAATATATTACATATTAATATTATTTATATTTAATTAATGTAATTTATTATTTTACATATTAATTAAGTATATAATATTATCATTTACATATTAATATTTATTTATCATTTTTTACATAATAATAATTTTAAAAGCACTAAGTGAATTAATATTCCGTATCTCATGCAAAGATTTGTAAAAACATAAAATAATGTAACTAAGAGAAAAATGATTTAACTTATTACACGAAAAAAATTACAAAAATGAGAGAGATTACATAAACAATCATCAGTTTGTCATTGGCTCTGAGTAGTTTAAAAGATATAGAACGAATCATTTTTTACATAACATATGTATATTAATTTTGAAAGCACTAAGATTATATTATAATCTTTATTTATCTCACTAGATTATATTATAAATTATTAATATTCGCGTATATTTCTCATATACAAAGATTTGTAAAAACATCAGATAATGTAACTAATAGAAACACGAATGACATTTTTAACGATTTAACTTATTAAATTAAAATTTATTACGAAAAAAACTACAAAAATGAGAGGGGTCACATATAAACAATCATCAGTTTGCAATTGGCCCTGAGTAGTTTAAAAGATATAGGACGAATATCTTGCAAGAGATAGATATTCACGATGCAAGAGAAATTCACGAACTGATGCAGGAAGGGACAAAGGTTGCGGTAGATCAATCTTTGTACATCAAAGACCGGATATTCTGAAATATATTGCTCTTATCTTGCGCGCGTGCTTCCCTTCGTTTTGCGTAATATACGCGCACACGAAGGAATCGCATGCATCTGCGAACCCTGTTGTTACTGTGGAATGCAAAGGAGCGAGGGAATTCACGGGTGATCGCTTCGCGAATCGGTTGCTGACTGAGCCGTCAGTCATCCAGGAAATTCCATTGTCGATGGAAAAATCGGGGCTACGGTCGCACGACTCGGTCGTTGCCTCCATTATTACGACGCCGCGCCCCCGATTCTGCGGATTCATTCGGTTTCCGGAGGCAACGGCGAGACGAGACAAAACAACGTGTGTTATTGTGCGAAAATACGATCGCACGAAATTGGCGCGTCGAGCAAACGTTTCGATCACGTGCAAACTGCAGTAACTTGAGCGTATTAGAATATCGACGGTAACTACGGTAAGGTTCTATACGTTTATTCTACGCGGTATGCGGTGAAGATATACAATACCTTCAGGCGAACATTTTGAACAATACATACATTAAACAAGTGACAATGTGAATAAATAATAAGTGTGAATAAATAAGTAATAAGTACGAAAATGAAAACCACGTTTTGTCTTTTTTGCGATTTTCTTCAAAACGAAGCAAAACCGAATATATCTCTAAAGGTTTCTTTTTCTTAGTTTATCGATTTTTTTCACGCTTCTGAAGTTTGGATATTTAAATTCGCGATATCCTGTATAAAAAATGTAATTCGCGTATATTTATATTTATATAAAATTGCTTCCACACTTATTTCTTTTTCTATTTATAAACTCGTTCTCATTTTTGTCCGCTCTGTGTGCAAAATATGTTGTTATAATATGTATAATACCTTTGCGAGTCGCATTTATTGTGCAATAATGAAAGACAGAAGCCCGTGCAAGCTTCAAAGCTGAATTTCGAAATCGAGATCACGCATGCTGGGACGTCGATATCGTCGATTTGTCAATCATTCACATGAGTTGCATTTATATAACACGATTTTTACGGCGACGGACAGATCCGATTGCAATTCGATTATTTTTCTTTTTCATCCTTCCGACTAAATCGTGTTTCGACATTCGCAGTTTGTTTCGAAGCTGCACCTCTGCATTATCCCATTCTCAAAAGCAGCGTGCCGAAATTTCCATATAAATATGACCTCGCGATTGCTGTCGTGCCTCGGCGGTCACAGCTCAACGATCTTGCACAAATGAACGCATAAATTAAATTCCTCGTCCTGATGCACACGCATGCAAACAACATCGGATCGTTGATGATATTTGTCGAGCTTCTGAAATTTTATATGCGACCAAATGAAATCGCGATGTCACATCGGAAAATTAAATAAAATTTCTCAA